TTGGAAGAGGAGCTAATCTTTTTTTGGCAATGCACAAAGACTGACCAAGATATTTTTACAGTCCTTCATATTTATCACTAAAGTTTTTCAAATGTCAACCTGTTGCTAAAATGATTTTTCTTAAGGCAAAACTATGTTTCTGAAAATCCTGCAAGCTCTTTACTCTGAAAGGAATTTGTACCTGCCTCTTTCCACTGAAGCTGTAGACTCCCAGATGTTTTGCCCTCTATAGTTGTCAGCTCTGGAAAAAACCCTGGGCTAGAAACCCAGTTATAGAGCAAGAGATGACCTTATAGAATAGATAATCTACTTAGAACAGCTGCAGCTAAATTTCTCTTAATTCCACATGTATCAGCACAGATCTGTGCTAAAAAAGATGTCTGTAAAACTCAAATAGAAATTTTAGATCATCTCAGTTTTTTAAATGCTGCATGAATTGTTACCCACTGTTCTGTTGTCAAGCCCTACATAGTTTATCTTGAATGACAGTAAGCTGGTTTGAGGATTTAAAAGAGCCATCAAAGGTTCAGGTACTTGGGAATTTTTCCACAAGTTTATTGTTACATCCTCCTTATTTGAGCAATAAGGCATATGTCTCACCTCGCTCATTTTGAAATAAGCCATGAGTGCTGCTCCTATTCTAAGACATAAAGTTTTCATGCTGCTAGTACTTACGTGACATTGGGCATGTCTAAGCAGCTGAGTCCCTTGAGGGAAGGAATATCTAGTTCCAGGTTGATGGGATTTCAGCCTCAGTGCTGTCATGACTGGACAAGCAGCAGAACTTGAGGCTCAGCAGTTAAGTACGTGGAGACTTTGGGTACTTTCATCTAGGGGAGAGTTTGGGTACTGCTTTGTATGTTACTCCTGTGTTGTGTGTTCTTGTCACTTGTACATCCACTCAGACCTGTTTTAATCCCTAGGATTCAAGATATTCAGTAGCTTCCATCAGCAGTGCTTTTGCTAGTTGTGTTATAATATGTAAAACAGCAAGAATAAATATAGCAAGTGGTGGGAGTAATGGGGATGTAGTGTTTAGGATCAATTCTCAGAGTATTGGAAGGGATCTGATTAATTTGTTGCCTCATCATATGCTGCATGAGGTTCTTAAAGGTCCATGTCCCTTGACGTGCTTTTAGCAAACCACACTAAGTATTGGTTGTTCCTTCCATAGCTTAAGTGCTACAGTTTATACTAATTGAACTTGCATGTAGGCTTTGTCTGTTTTTCCAGGTTCTTAGTACTGTGTAAACTTGAGTCATAATTACTGCTGTCTTCAGGAGGTGTCAGTTAATTTTGTTCTGAGGATAAAAAATGGGCGCATTGCTCAATCACAGCAGCTTAAGAGAACCTGGTCAACTATAGGTACTTACTTGGTTTTGTACTTTCTGAATTCTTGTGTGTCTAGATGGTTTCCCCAAACTGAGATCTTAAAATTTCTAATTAGGTTCAGGTCCTTATATCTCCTGTTAGCATCTTGGTCTAGAGCAGTCATGCGCGTTTTGCTTTTATGTCCTGTAGTAGTGAAAACTTCTGTACTTTGGATTCATAGGGTGCAGTCTTTTAAGTCACATAAAAACAACTGATGAAGCTTTTAAACTCACTACTCAAGTTATTTCATTTTGTTAAAATCTCCTCATATCCTTTAGTAGTCAAGTAACTTAGATCTCTTTTTTTCAGTCTCTAATCACCTTATCTGTTATCTACTAGGGCTTTTTTTTTAAGGCATACAGTTGCTTACAGTAGAAGCTGGAAAAATAAGTTGTAGTACCTGCAAGACCTTCACCACGCACGTCATGGTGGGAGTTTCTTTCAAATGTGTCCTGAGAACTGCTTTCTAATATTATTTACAAAGTAAAAATGATTGTGTGATAACTGGAGATGATGACTTGCTTCTCATTCTGTGCAACCTGTTGAATATGGCCCTTGGTTGGCTTCTTGATATTCTTCATTAAGTGACAAGCTGGATTTTATATGGACATGGGTGTTGCTGTCTTTTGTAGTTCATAGGCCAAGTTTGTTTATTGTATACATAAACAAAGGATAAAACTGGGGCTAAGTAATCTGAAGAGGAGTCAGTAGAAAAGTTGAAAATCAATGGAATAATTCTAGAGAGGCAAACCTGTTATCTAAATTTTGGAAATTTGATAACATGGCTGTTTTTCTGTTTCTTGGTACTCCGGGAAATTAATCTGACCAGTACATATAGATATTTTCACTAGAGTTCATCCTTTTTTATCTCAATTGCTTCAAAAGAAGTTGGATATTAAAGTGTTTTTTAGAAATAAGATGAAGAAGTGCTTCCTGGAAGAAAGTGGATTTCTGATAAGTACTTTGTAATTTTTAAATTTTACTGATCTGAAAACACAATGAAGCAACATATGTGTAACAGGTGGTCTAATCCATGTAGATGCTGTGCATAAATTAACAGTTTAAAACTGAGCTTGTTCTGATTAATAAGGTATCTTTTTGTTATTGCTGTCTGCTGAAATCAGCCTTGTAGTACCACAGCTCAAAAGTTAGTACTACGGAGAGGGGTGTAAAGAATATGAATTAATTTCTAGTGGAAAGGCTGGCATTGCACAGGTTTCTTTTTCTTGAAACTGATTACACTTACTTTCCTCTTAGTTGACCCAGTTTCTTGGAATAGTTTTCACTTACTTTTGATCAAGTAAATGAAAAAACACTCCTTGGTGATGATAAAAATAATTCTAGTATACAAAAATATCTACAACTGTTTTCTGTGGTTCCATGAAATCTTTTCATTATAACAACTTAGGTAACTGTCCCACAGTTGTCTTAATTTGTAAATAGTGATGTAATACTTACACAAATGATACTTTCTTTTGTGAAGGGCAAGTGGCCTCTTGGACTGGGGAGAATCTTTGTGTGGTGCTGGTCTACATGAAGGTGGGATATGTGAAGTACTGGTAGGAATTAGAGAAAGCTAAAGAAAACCAGATTAAGTTTGGTAAAGCTTAATTTTCAGGGGCAGGATATAGACTGTAATGGTACTAGTAGGTTTTAGCCAGTATGTGTATCATAAAGCGATAAATTAAAAATAATATTTTGGACCATAGAAAATAAACCTATGAAGGAATAGAATATTTTTCTGCAGAGAACTGTTCTCTGGTTTGCTTTGTTTTTTTGTACTGAGATTCAGCTTCAGTATCACTGAATCTTCAGAATAGATCTGGCTTTTAAATTGTAACAATAACAGGTACAGATAAACACCCTTTTTTGGTGTACAACTGTTTTGTTGTAACTAGAGCTTGATTATCTGGGCTTTTGTACATTTAATGCCCAAACTGGCTTTTTAATGTCATTGGCATAAGTGATTAGGCAACATATGTTCTAGAAGAAACTACAACTCAAAGTTTACGAAGTCAGGCAGTTCAGTTTGCTTACTGTAGTGTATGATATTTGACCAAAAGGCAAAATTATGAGAGTGGATTATAAACCAAATCTTAGATTATGAAGGGACAGCTTTAGTTCAAATAAAGCTGTCTTTGTGTCTCATGTGCTTTGAGCTCTAAACCTGTCTTTATGCGGGTTCATTTCAGTAGAAACCAGCTAAAGAACAAAAAATGTTAAATTTTATGTTTCTCTATCTGTGTGGTGCAAGCTGTCAAACAGCAATTGGGAATGAAGAGAATCTCCATTTTGAGGCCATCTGTGTAGTTTCTTTTGTCTGAACCTGACAAGAGGTCATGGCAGATGGTGGGGTCACAAAGTCTGGCTTCTCAAGCTTGACAAAATGTGTTCATAAAGCTGGAAGAATACCAACTGTTCATACTGGCTGAAGACCATTGTGGCAAAGGACTGTAGTAGTTTATGGACAATACCTTCTGGATCACTAAGCTTGGCAGCAAGTAACTTGTTAAAGATGAAACTAGTTTGCTAATCTGTAAATGGGTTAAAACTGCTCAGCAAATATGTTCTTAACTATGTTTTATTTGCACACTTTACTTGTAAAGCCTCTTAAAGCAAGAGAGGGAGGTCAAACTGCATAATAAATTTTCACCAGATAATATCTCCAGATAATGTATTCAGAGAGTTTGTATGGAAAGAGGGGGAATATGGATAAAGAAAAGGCACATAAGGATCATAATTTTCAGACACGATATAAGCATTCAGTAGTTGCTTTTTGCCATGAACACTGTAGTTTTATGGCTTTTCTGTGGTGTTTTATGGTTGCTACACAAATCCTTTCCTCAGGGTCTCAACAGATACCTCCCCATAGTGTCCACTCTAAAGGCAGAGAAAATAGCTTCTTATTTAATTTGATTTTTTTTTGTGAAACTAAACTTTAAAGTGTTCTTGGGAGAATGTCTTACTAAACAGAATTGTGTGATGTTCACATGCTGCAGTAACTGCTTAATTATGGCTGCAATAAGTTGAGCCACGAAGGAAGATAAATACAACTCATTCAGCTTAAAATGCCTCTAAACTGAAGAAAATGTTTTGCTACTAACTCCAAAAAAGTTTAATTGATATGGTGTCTGAAATCTATAGAAGCATCCAAGAATTAAAATTTCTTCTGAATTGTTCAAAACCACTAATGCCGTGATGGTGGAGTTCCCCATCAGCTATGCACACTGCTGAAACAATTTCTGGCACTAGAATCCCCCATGCAGGGGGATTAGAACTAGTTGATCTTTAAGGTCCCTTCCAACCCAACTATTCTATGGTTCTATGAAAATCCTAAAAAACTCAGTTTGAACTGTAATGTTTTTTCTTGGATGTTTTCTAAAAATACTTCATGTTTGCCGTGCAGAACCTGAGTATTGTGGTGACTGATTTTATTTTAAAAAAATAATTTAAAAAAAATTAAAAAACTATCCCTGAAGATGCACAATTTCAGATAAGGAGGTAACTTAAAATATATTTTAATTAAGGTATTTTATTAATTTCCTTACAGGATGTTCATTTTAAAGATTCTGTGAAGATGAAAAGAGATATCTTATGGTTTTACGGATTATAAAGCAATATCGCCTGACATGACGGCAAAAAATGTAGGTATAATTCTACAACATGTACTACTTTTTATATTGGCATGCTGCCAGTCACTTCTGCCTTTCAGAATTTGAAGTCTGTGTTTTATTTCTTGTATTTGTCCATACAAGAAAACACACACGAAGACGGTCAGATTCAAAAATCTTGTCCAATTTTGGTATACCACAAATGGCTACCCCTGTTATCTTCTGCAGTATTTTGATAGATTTTAGCTGTTTAGAAGCTCCTTTAGGATGTGGAATTTACTCAGCTATAGGTAAGGTTGGTAACTGGAGCAATGGTTTATGCTGTTTCCTTCTTGATCCTTATGTGGTACTCTGTGATTCCTCTAACATTGCTGCAAACTTACCAGAGAGCTTCTTTTTTTTGTTGAAGCATCTCACCGTTGCACCAGAGTGAAATCCTTCTACTGAGTCCAAGTCTCAGAACTCAAGAAAGAACAGAAAGATGGTGCATGTCTTTGCTAATGTCAGTATACTCTGTTTCTAGAAGATTCAGGGCATTCTTGTTTCTTTGTCTGCTGCATTAACAAGCCTGTAGTGTAGTGTCTAGGGGCTTTATACTTGATTCCCCTACCCTGATTTCTGAGGAAGCTTAAGAAATGTCTAGCATCCTGACCTTAATTTTCTGCCCAATTAGCTGTGCTTCATAAGGTACACTGTTTATATAGAGAACACTTCTGATTAAGCTTGATGGTCAGTGACTTGAGTATGACTTTGGGCTTTAGGCAGTTTACCTGTTGACTGCCTTTGATAGGGCATCCTGCAGTCTAATTAAATCTGAACAGGTTTAGGAAACAACATGATTAAATAAATACCCCAAAATAAAAGTGCAGCTAAGCAAAGGATGACTGCCTGTTGACTAGCTACAAAAGCTTTTGGGCATTGTTGGTTATATTGATGCTAAGGGCATAGTTTGGTTAAATTAATTCTCAAGTCTTGGATGGGAGAATTACCAAGACTGGGCTCACTGCTCACTTTCTCTGAAAGCAGGACACTTTCTAGTGTATATTTATGGAACATTGCTTGTGGGTTATTTGGATTTCATTAGAAAACAAATCCAACCAAAAGAGCTATGAATAATAAAATGTTGAATAAAAGTTACAGGTTCTCTTGGATGTGAAATGTTTATGTGCTTACCATACAGTTTGTACCCAGATGTAATTTCAATCTCCCTGTCATAATGGGTTATTTCATTCTTTGCTTATATCATAAAATATGTTTTTCTTTCCTGCTCTGTACTTCCATTCCTGTATGTCCTTCTGGTAAGAAGGCACCAAAAGAGTATTGAGAAATGGGGAAAAAAATAGTAAATACTCATGGTAAATATATTTTTAGGACAAAATAAATAATATGACTCAAGAAAATTATTTGAATACAATTCTTAAGTTCTATTGTTTGATCTGAATTTTTATAGATACACTTGTAAAGTTACTTGTTACTGTTTCTCAAAGGTTGGTTGTCTTGTCCTAGATAAGGTCCGATAACGGGCTATAATTCTTTCATATGTCAAAATGAGAGAAAACAAGTTAGTTTAAAGTCATTTGGTCACTGTGAAGAGGGCCTTAAACAAGACTTAACATCTATTTTACACAGGAAACTCAAAAAAACAATGTAAAGGACAGTAGGTATTCTGCACTCATAGTCCCTTCAGGTTTCTTCTTGTTTGTGAGAGAGCCCCTTTTAGGTCCACCTGAGTAGGTGATACTACTACATAATGTCTACTAATGAGTCTGCTTAGGTGTACAGGTATAAGAAAACAGCCAGTTAATGGATTCCCTACAATTTACAACTTCTTCATGCTGTAATCTGGAGCAGTTCTAGGGCAGAGAAAACAAAAACTTTTCAGTTTGATGAGAAAGTTAATTTCTGTAAGGAAAGGGAAGGACTGAAGGTGGAGACTTGCTGCTTGAACAGTATGTCAAGCTACAGTATGTCAAGTATGATAAGCTACAAGGGCAGCTTGTGACAGTTTGCCATCTCCAAGGTTTTGGCTGTTAATTTTTTTTTTTCTTTCCTCTTGCCCCATTTGGAAACTTTGTAGTCACCTACCAGGAAAGGGAAAAAACCCCTTGATTTAAATATTTAGTAGGATGCAAAGACCTGCCAAGTGCTTGCTTCATCTTACTTTGTGGCTGCATTCATCCTGCTACAGCTGGACAGGAGCAGGAGTCCAGCTCCTGCCATACCCAGTAATCCAGACACTCTGGGGTAGTGCTATAAAGCAGAAATATCACATGAGATTTATAAAAAGTAAGCATTAGATTGTTTGCTGCTTTCAGTGTAGGAGTGGTTAAATGACAAGATTTCCAAATGCAGTGGGTGGTACAATCTCCAGATAACAGTATGGCCTGGGACCTCTCTGACATTGAAATGGAAAACTATAAATTTCTTGTTCTGCTGCAGTATTGTAATATTGCATCACACGTTGCTGCTTCTGAGGGCTTAGTTACAGTAATTCTTCTCTAAGGGAAACAAATTTCTTTAGATCTGCCACACTTTTCATTCCAATTCTCATGAAATTCAAGTTTGTTTTCAAGCTGTTCTAAACTTAGATACAAAGATTATAAAATTGAGAGAAGTGCTGCTGTTCATTGAATGGTCTTTATAAATGTGTTACTAGGACCATAATGAAAATACAAATTTATATGCAAACTAATGTTCTGTAATTTTGTATCTTTTGGATCACTGAAGTACAAGATACACAAAAAACAAAAAAAAGAACTCAAGTACTTCATTACATTTCCTTAAATAGTGAATCAGTTAAATAATCTAAATCTTTCAGAGAATTAAATGTAAATGTTTGAATTTTCAAAGCAGCTGTAGAGTCATCTTGGGCTGACGGTGCATATGTAGATCATCTTCAGTGTTTAACTGAAGCACCGATATGATCAATTGGAAAATGTACAATTGTGGTGCTGTCTTTGAAGATGTTCATGGGAATCATGATTCTTAATCTTTCTCATTGAACGAGTTAAGACTCTTATTTCTAACACTTTATCCCTGTGGCTCCCCTATTCCTTCTCTGAATTAAAATTATTTCCTATCTGTGTTTGTCTATTTCTTGCAGAGGCAGGGTCCTAGGGAGAAGCTGAATCAATTACTTATTGTGCAAAGGCAGCAGCAGAATGATCCAAGAGTGCTGGCTGTTCCTTTTGGCTTTGCAGTTGTAATGCCCTTTTGGCGCTATATGCTATGCGATTTACTAACCTTTTCAACCTCTGCTTTAAAGATCTCCTCAGGAATACATTTTCAGTGTAAGGAATCAGAGTGACCTCTTACCACGTAAGCTTTCTTTGCCACCCTAAGCATCCAGAGGGAAGAATACTAGAATGTTACTGTTTCCAGAATGAACCTGCGACCAAAACGTGATAGGAGACATGTTGGCGTTTGTTTTTATGTCTTACTCTTTCCCCTGCTCAAATCCACGAGTTACTGTTCCCGTCCTCCCCAGCCTTTCTTCATTGCCTCTGCACCGCTGCCACCTGGTGGGAGACAAAGAAGGAAACGAAGAGGGGAAAAAAAAGAGACAGACATGAGGTGGCATGTGTCAAAAGCAGCTTCTGGTGATACCATAGTCTACAACAAGCAAAGCAGTTGGTTGCACAAAGCCTTGGAAATCACAAAGCATAAGTGCTCTAAAAATGCAGAATGTGTTACCATTATTTGCTGTTGCTGAGTCCATCCCTTGTTAGCTGGCATCTGAGGGACTTTTGCATCTCTGCCATCCCTCATTCAGGAACAGGGATCTTGTGTTTTTCTATGTTACCTCTACATTTCCATGCTTCGTGTACATGCCAAAATCTGAGATGCACCATTCTGTGTACAAGTTCTCTCTGTCTCTAGTAATTTACCCTCAGGGCAAATAATTTTATCTGTGAAGACTAAGGAATGTATCAAAATGCATCAGTAGTCACAGCTCCTCAGACCTGTCGACCATGCAGCTTAGTACTGAGAATACTGGACAGCAGACAAATTTCTCCTGTATTATTGGATATGGTTTAGGGGAGAACTTGTAGAGTAGGGATGATGGTTGGACTTGGTGATCCCAAGGGTCTTTTCCAACCTGAATAGTTCCATGATTCTATTCTATGATTGGTGGTAGCTGCCCTGTTTGACTTGGAGTCATGCTTGGGTCATGTATAGTACAGTATCAGATTATTTGGGGGCTTGGGGTTTTTTTAGGTAAGAACTTGGCTAAAATTAGTTTGACGTCTTATACATGCGGTAAATGTTTGGGATCCTTTTCTTTGTATCTCATGCACTTGTTAGACTCTGCGTCCACAGAATAATGATGTTTTAGAAATTCAAAACATATTACTTTCATAATGTTGTTAGTTGCATACTAGAGAACATAGAAAGGTTTATTGTATTTTAAGACTTCCAAAATGTTTTGTTCAGGTTGGTGTGACGTCCACAAATGGAGACTTGAAAGGATTTATAGATCAGAACCAGAGTCCAACAAAAGGTAAGCAAATTCTATTTGTATACATAGATAAGAAACATACATTAAGACTTACTTCTTCCTTATGTGGACTAAATTAGTATTATTTCTGTTGTCACTGCGAATGGTTGGTTCAGTTTTGGGAGACTCAAAATTTAAATGTTGAAAATGTATTTCATACAACTACACTGGTAGATGTTTTATTACTGACATGCAAGTGGAAGATCTTCAGGTTTTCAGAGGGGAAAGGAGAGTGTAGTAAAAATAATCAGAGGATGAAATAAGCCCTTTGTTTTCTTTGCTTGATGGTGAATAATGTGTTCAGTTTCCTTGTCTGCACCCTCACTAAAGTTCCCAGACTATGTTGTAGTCCAAATGGGAAAGGTTAAGCATGGCTTCGTCATCAGTGGTATCTTGTGGTACTTTTATAAGTATTCTGGACAATTTACAATAGTAAGAATTTGTCCTATTCTGTTTCATTTTAGCATTTCTAGATTAATCGCTTTTGACTATAACAGTGTGTTGGCAGTCAGAATAGCTATAGTATTCCAAGAAAATAAAGCTGCAACCCCTTACCAATATTAGAAAATTTGAAGATTTACAATTCAGGAAATATTTTGATCAATGTTTCTAAGTAAATGCTGGTTTGCTGTTATCCACTCCAGTAAAGAAATGCACACACTAGCTGGAAGGATGACTTTTTCCTCATCACACCGGTTTAGGTGTATCAGACTTCAGAGTCTTAAAAAAATGGCTACAGCTATAATATCTTCATAGTTTTCTAAACTGCAGAACACTACATACTAGTTTTAGGCCTTTGAGAATTAATTTATTGTGTACTAGTGAAATAATTGTCCTTTTCTGTTTCATTATTTTGTGATTATTGTTTCACGATAAATGGTATAAGACTAACATAGGTGCAACATTTTTTAATAATTTCTGAGAGACAAGCAATTGATTTGTTCAGAGAATAATCTAATAACTTTATAAGGTATAGGACATTACTGCTGGTAGTAATATTCCAGTGATCCTTATCCTAGTCATTATTCGATTTTGCTTCTGGGATGATGGATATATTATTTGCCTCCATTCTTATGTATTTTCTACAATATTATGCTCTTAACAATTTTTATTTACTTTTTTGACCTTGAGGTGTAATTAAAAATCACTGACATCTCTGAGATATAACATCTTGTTCGTGCTGACTTAACTCTTCTCAGAGAAGGAAATATTCCATAAAAGCTGGAAAAACTTGCATGCCAGTATCTAAGGTGTCTCTTACTTTCAATCTGAAGTGTCCTTTACTTCTGCTGTGTTCCCTTTTGAACTCTGGAAATTCAGGAGGACAGGAAGAAACTCCAAAACAGGCATTCAGATCTACTATGTCTTACCAGGCCTTTGTGAGCTTCCTAATTAATACGGTTTTTATTGTTTTATCCATTATTTAAGTTAACTCATTTGCTATAGTAAATATAGAGGTAAAATACTGCTATGTATCTGTGCCTGTTCATAGTGTGCCTTCACAGTGTTTTTATACTGCAGCATGGTGGATTTATGATATACTTAAGAGCAAAAGAGAGAGGCTATTTGCTCAAATAAGGATCTTATTGAAAGCATCAGATTTCAAGTGCTAGAAACTTTTGTTTAGAAAAGTTGCATTTAATTTTTTTCTTTACAAAAAGATATTTATTTATGGTGTGTGTTTATTATTTGCACAAACGTAGTAATTTAGTACCAATTTTGCATTGAAGGATTTTGCACTTCAGATTCCAGTGCTGAGCCATGTGGGCACAGAAAATTCCTAGGGAATTTTGGCTTCTTTTTTTTTTTTTTTTTTTATGAACTCTGGTATTTTCTTATACTATGAAATCTTGTGTAATCCTGATTTTATTTGGTTTAATTTTGAAAAATACTGGGCTAATCTAGGTAAACCTACTGCTCTGCCACTTTGCCTAGACTACAGCCTGGATCTTTGAGGATGCCATTTCAAACTGCAGGACAATGTTTTGAAAAGCTTACCAAATCAGCTGTTGCTCATTTTGTACTCATACAGCTGCAGTTTCATTCTGTAATCAAAACAGCTTATCATTTGACCCTTATGCTCTAAAATTACCTTCTCTGCTTTTTTTCCATTCACAGGCTTATCTTTCAAAATCTTTCTGAATTCTTTCCTTGAGCCATCTGAAGCAGTTACTCTATAACCCTCTTCCAGGGTGTGTTTGATCAGGTTTAATTTATCTTTCCCACCATGGCCTGTCGTGTCCATACCACAACCTCTGGATATTTTCCAGGTTATTTTGATACAGGAGAAGTTAGTGCTCACAGACTGCTTAGGTATTGCTATCTGATCTGTAAGACTTAAAGTATTGCTTTGTCACTTCTGCGTATTTTTAAATCTCAATTACTATTCCTAAATAGGTTCACAGGTTGTTTGGTTTATTCAGGGGTTCAGTTTTCTTATTTGCTTGTTAGTGAGAATACTGTGGTCTTCTTGTTGGAGTGAGGTTTTTTTATTCAGGCTTTTTTAGAATAATTTCAGGATAATTTTAGAATAATTTTTTAAATCTTTGAGTAGATGATGTCTAGGAAAAAGAAGCATTTCTAGTACCTGGTGTATCTAAATGCAGTAGAGGTTTACTGGGGAATCTGATGTTATAAATGTGATGATTGCAGAATCAAAGCACATAAATCTAAATTCATAATCCTTATAGAGAGACTTACTGCCTAATTCTGAAGGGAACTAGGTTTTTCTTCGTAGGTGTATCACAGTCCTCAGCAGAGCATTAACTCAGAATGTTGTTCACTTTGTTTAGTGAACAATTCCTGTTCAGCAGACAATTTACTTTCCCACATCTATTGCCTTTAACTCATATGTAGCAGGCTTTTTGGCTAAAAGATCTACATTTGGAGCCTGCTTCCTCTGCTTGAAATGAATACTGACTGGATCTGAGAGGAAATGCCACATGTGGATGGTTCTTGACTAATGGACAAATACTCAGGTAGTGCCAGGGACTGCTTGTTGCAAAGACAGTCATTGGGTAAATATTTTAAGTAGTCCACACTGCACAGTCTGGTTATCTCCTTTCTGAAAGTCATTTTCACTCAAATTTTCACTCAGTCTTTGACATAGAATCTTCTTGTTACAGGCAAAATTGTTCAGCTATAGCAAGCAGGGCTGACTATGCTTCATTTCCTTATCTGAGAGTGCCTAGCAGGCTGGTGATGAAAATTATTCCTGTAAGAGACCTGCATTTTTATTCTGCCAGGCAGAAAAAATTTGGCTGTTTCTCATTCTCATTTGGCTGTAACTCTTGGGTTACTCTCACGTTTTGGAGAACAGAGATGATTGTTGCTGTTCTTGGCCTTGAGGACAGATCTGTACATATGTATTAGGTATTCTAGTATTTTATCACAGATTCTGCCTGTTGGGAGAAACTCCTGGTATGCTCCATGCTAACAAGACTGAAACACTGCTGGGTGTAGGCAGAACTTTGGCTCCTGATAAAGTAGTTGACAACAACATAGTTCATTAATTAAGCAAAATCCTGGTTTAAGTGGCAAGATACCTTTGTGGAGTTGACCCATTCTGTTAAAATTACTAAGTATAATAGTTCAAGTTAGTTCTTAAACAGGTATAACTAGGTTAGTGAATGAATAACAGTTCAGGTGTGTGGCTTTGGGATGATTGTTTCAAGCTGTAAATGAATTAAAGCAGACATGCTGTACAGTTCGTATTGAAAAGTTGCATGTGTAACCAGGAAGGAGAATTTAAAATTTAATCTGCTTGAAAGACATTCTCAGTCAGTAAGTTAAGTGCTTTCAGTTTTGTAATACTGTTCATATGTTATAAAAATAGTAAATGAAATCTTTTCCAAGCAGAGGGCAGGTTGCATTACCAGTTTCCTGCTCTCGTGTCAAGCCACCTCGCCTGCCCTCTGCATCTATGTATTATGTCTGTGGCTTTGTAGGCTCCATTCTAGTTTAAGGAGCAAGTTCCAAAGCTGCCCGATCTGCTGAGTATTGGAGTTGTCCAAGTGTGAGGCCATGTAATGAAATCAAGGTTTGCAATGAGGTGTTACTTGCAAAGTCATTTTAGCAATCAAAGCTGGTGCTTTTCAGCTGTAAATCCAATGAGGTTTGGTGCCATCAGGTGAGCACTCTAATTCAACACACCTGAAATGAGTGAATTTGTTACCTGCAGTGACAGATAAAGGGACAAGGCACCCTACAGATGCCTTTAAACAAAATAAGGTATGCAGAGAACTCACCATTTGAAAGCAACTGCAGATTTTAAGTATTTCTGATGTGTGCAGTTGTGCGGGGCCGGCTGCCCTGCCGGGGGGCTGGGGCAGGACGCACCCTGCCCTGCAGAGCACCCTGTGCTCAACACAGAGCAGGGGGGCCTGTGTCTGTGTTTTGCTCTCCTGGGGCAAGGGACGTTCTTGCCTTGAGACTCTCTGGCTTGAGCAAAATATTTTCCTATTCCTTCAGTTTCCAGGCGCTGCTGCTTCGGCCGTGCTGCAGTGTGGGACCGGTCCGATTAAAATGGTCTGTGTAAGTGTGGGAATATCCGCGGGCATGACAATATTGACACACACGGAACAGGAGAGGCTTTGCTGAGGCGGGTTAGAGGCTGTGCTGCTGGTGTGGCTCCCGGGGCTGCGCGGGCCCTGCTGCCCGGCCGGGGCTTGCTGGGCCGGTCTGGGCCATCGCTGCCGCCAGGCACCGCACCGCCCCAGACTGCCCCGGGCACCTTGGAACGAAGGTGCGGGCGGGCGGGGCCGCCATGGCCTGCTGGGCGGATGCCTCACGCTCTGTCTTGCCTCGTTTAAACTGGTGACGGTGGCACTTGGTGGGGGCAGCGGAGAGAAGCGCAGAGCAGAGTGTTTACAGCGTTCTGGGAGGCCTGCATGCCAAATGCCCGGGTTGTGCCTGGTATGGCAGAGGGGTGTGCTGCCGTCCGGGGGGACCTCCACGGGATGGTGACAATCAGCAGGGGGAACGGCCCCTGCTCCAGTGCAGGC